GGTTCATGGAAGAAAGATGGGGCGATCTACTTCCATAGAGATTTACAGCCTCGGAAATCCAACGGGAGAAACTATGAGTTGGAATTGACTCGATGGCAGCAAGCTTGGTTGTTTTTTCTGAAGGGGGAGGGGCGTTCCCATGCCTATGAGGTGATTGAAAATACCACGGCTTGGGTCAGGCTCACCTTATTCCTCAAGGGGACATCTTTGCTTTTCAAAAACTGAAAAAGGTCATTTACAGCCTCGGAAATCCAACGGGAGAAACTATGAGTTGGAATTGACTCGATGGCAGCAAGCTTGGTTGTTTTTTCTGGAGGGGGAGGGGCGTTCCCATGCCTATGAGGTGATTGAAAATACCACAGCTTGGGTCAGGCTCACCTTAGTCCTTAAGGTGACATCTTTGCTTTTTTAACACTTTAAATACATCCTTTGAGTTTTGTGACTGCTGCCATCATGGGTTTTGATTGTGGATCCAAGTAAAATGAAATCCTTGACAACTTCAGTATTTTCTCCATTTATCCTGTACTGTGTACTGAGCAGTAATTCAGAACAGTCACATTTTTATAGGCTATCAGAAGCTCTAAAGAGCTAAGGTCGGTGGTTCGAACTCATCAGCCACTGTGTGACAGATGAGGCAGTCTGCTTCAGTAAAGATTTACAGCCTTGGAAACCCTGTGGGGCAGTTCTGCTCCCCCCTATAGAGTCTCTGTGAGTTGGAATCAACTAGATGGCAGTGGAGGAGCTCTGGGGGCATAGTGCCTAAGACATTAGAATGCTAACCAGAAGGCTGGCAGTTCAAACCCACCAGCCGCTCCCAAGATGGGGTAATCTACTTCCATAGTGATACTGCCTCGGAGACCCAAGGAGGGGTCACTATGAGTTGGATCTGACTCCACGGCATTGAGTTTAGTTTTCCTTTTAGATGGCAGTGGGTTTTTCTATTTTTTAGTTAAAAGTTCTAAGTATATTTAGAAAGTTGATTCTTTCTAATAGCCTTCCTCCTCCTAACAGAGATTTTTCTTTTTCTCTTAGCAAGATCAGCATTCGACACAGCTGCCCGTTGTAAGTATTCCATCTCAGAATATTTTGCAGATGATCTATTCTGTTATCCTAGACATATGAGAACTAAAATTCTAATAATGTATGTAAGTCAGTGTGAGCAAATCCAGATTTATAAATTACTTTTTAAAGTTATAAGGGCACTGGTTGGACAGCCCAGATGATCTGACATGTATTTATAATGAATATTTTGTTTCATTGGTGTTTCTCTGTGGGAGAAAGATGAGGCTGTCTGCTTGTGTAAAGATTCGCAGGCTTAGAAACCCTATGAGGCAGTTCTACTCTGTCCTTTAGGGTTGCTGTGAATCAGAATCACCTCAGTGGCAATGGATTTGATTTTGAGTGGGTAGCAGTTTTTAGCTCTAGTATTGCAAGAAAGACGTGGAGGAGTAAATGGAGAATTCCTGGTTAGAACCAGTGCACGGACAGATACTCGGTGGTACACTGGGCTGCTTTCTGGTTCTGAAGGTACACGTTTGTTGGCAGAGATGGACTTGAAATGTAAAGTTACAATTCCAAGCGTCTCCTCATCCTGAATTTTAAGCACAACTGAAAGATAATTAGTTGAATTCATTTACCTAATCAAGGTTATATTACTGGATCTGTTGCTATCAATCATTAGCTTGTTTCCTAGGCAATTCTGCTTTATTTTTGAGGCTCTTTGAAAGCCACAGTGGGAGGGGGGTTTCCGGCATGTATTTCAAGTATGTGTACCTTGATGCTTTACCCTGTGTGGTTTTGAGAGCTAAAACAAACTGATAAGTGGGCCTGTTAACACTGATTTAAAAAAAAAAAAAAAATTCTGTTTTTATCTCTGAAGCTACTAAGCCTCCAAGATACAAGTGTGGCATCTCAAAAGCTTGCCCTGAGAAGCATTTTGCATTTAAAATGGCAAGTGGAGCAGCCAACGTGGTGGGTCCCAAAATTTGTCTGGAAGACAACGTGTGAGTATTTGTCGCTGGGAACTCCAGTGTGTGCAGTTGGGTTGGAGCAGATTGCATTGGAATTTAATGGGTCTTTTGGGAGTGCATTAAGCTTGCTTTTCCCAAATGAGAATGATTTGACTTCCCATTACATGATTCCCCGCCCCACCACGCACGCGTCTCAGCATTTCTGAAATCTTTAAATTTTATATTGGAGAATGATGTAAGAACACAGTGTTGATGCAGTGTTGTGGAGAGATGAAGGGTCCATTCTGGTATCACAAAACACATGCAGCTGTTTGGTTTTGATTTATAAATAAGAGGGAGAAAGTGAATTCACTTACAGTTACTAATGTGAAAAGCCCAGCTCCTTGGGGCCACTGGCCCACATTTTAAGTTCTCAGGAACCACGCGCGGCTCATGGCTGCTGGATGGAACCAAGCAGAAAGAGCGTTTTTGTCATTGCAAAGTGTCCTCTTGACACTGCCCTAGGAAATGAAAGCGTTATCTTACAGGCCACCATTTTTCAGCCGAAATGTTTGCTGCTTGAGGTGTGACATGGTCCAGTGATGGCCTCACTTGGGGCATGGAACAGCTTGTCCCGGAGCTGAGTGGTTTCCTCTAGTGAGATGCTCAGCAAAGTATAATTGGGGTTTTTTGGGGTTTTTTTTTTTTTTTTCAGTCTCTTACCTGAGTGTTAACTGTCATGTAACTCAAAGTTTCTACCTCCCAAGTTGCAAACCATACTTTTAGTCTGCTCTTGCCTAGAAAACTCTATAGGTGAGCTTCTTTAAGGGGCCTTGGTGCAGCGGTTAAGTGCTTGGCTGCTAAAGGAAAGGTTAGCAGTTCAAACCCACCAGCTGCTCCTTAGGGGAAAGATGTGGCAGTCTGCTTCCATAAAAATGTATGACCTTGGGAACCCTATGAGGCAGTTCTGCTCTGTCCCTCAGGATCACTGTGGGTTAGAATTGACTTGATAACAGTGGATTTGGTTTGGTTTAAGGTTATTTAAATGTCAAGTCAAATAATAAATTTGGTGTTGGTGACATGTTTATGGCATTTGACTTGCTAGCTGCTAGAAGGTTGGCAGTCCTAACCCACCAGGTGCTCTGCAAAAGGAAAACGAGGCAACCTACTTCTGTAAAGATTTACTGCCTTGGAAACCCAGTTGGGGTCGCTTGTGAGTCAGAATCAACTTCATGGCAGTGGGTTTTTTAATGTAGACTAAAAAGTGAGGTAATTTTACAGAAAGAAGACTGACTGGCAGTTTCTCCCGGCAATTTGTGTGCCTTTAGTTTTAATTGTGGTAAAAACATGCATAGCCAACCATTTGCCAATTTAAGAGTTTTTACATGTAGTTCAGTGACATTGCTTACATTCCTCGTGTCATGCACTGATCAGCACTCTCTTTCTCTGTGTTACCACACCGCCGTGAACACATGCTTACTGTCCCTTTTTAAAAAACAAAAAAAAACACTTTATTGTTATTTGGATGAAAACTTTCAGAGCAAATTCATTTTCTATTCAGCAGTTTATATGCACTTTGTTTCCTGACATTGATTGCAGTCCCCACAAGGTACCAGCTCTCTTCAGTGTACCAGCTTCTCTTCCCACTTCTGCCCCTGTGGTTACCTTTTCCTTGTGTCCTCCTTTCCAAGGCATTCCTGCTTTCTTCCTGTGCACATGCTGCCCTTCTAGTCTTCCACGGGTGACTGTTCTAACAGTGCACCTACCTGGTGTAAGTATTTACCTCGTAGGCCTGTCCATTGTTTGGCTGGATGCCACGGGAGTGAGTTCAATTCCAGGCATGAGGGGTAATTGGGAGCCATAGTCTTGGGGTTTCACCAGCCTGTATCAGACCAGTAACTGATAAAGGCAACACTCTTCTTGTAAAACTAAGTGCTGACTCTGTATGGTTCATAAGGTCTCTACTCACTGCCTTTCTTTTCCCTCATGCTAATGATAATCCATTGTTAGTAACCTATTATCTTCTGATTTCTCATTGTAACAGTACTGTTTTACTGAATTGTGTAATAGAGATCTTGGATTTTAGGAGTTTGAAAATTTTACATTAGTGTAAATATTAACCTGCACATTAAC